CAGACATTTGCTGCTGATGAGATCTGAGGAGCTCCCGGTATCTATGAGGATTCGGCCAACTCTCTGGTTGGCCACTTTACATTCAATAACGAGAGGGTCGTCATGCGGCCCCCTTACCCCTCCTAGATCCTCTTCAGTGATGACAATCTCAGGAAATGTATATTTGGACGGCCGTTCTTGGTGAACGGAATTTACATCTAACCGCCTTATATTATCTTTGTTGCCCCTAATAGTGGGGCCGCCTCCTGAGAAGCCGCCTGCAATGGTGTAGACGACTGCATCATCTGTATCGGAGCTGTCGGCCTGTTGATTCTTTTTGGCCGACAGCTTTTTTGAGGAAGTGTTCCCCGTAGATTTCTTGACATAAGTGTCAAGATCACCTTGCTCAGCCAGGCGGTCTAGGTACCGCATAAGACTGATGCAGTCATTGGTGTGATGACCAACGTCATCATGATAAGCACAGATTTTATCTTGGTTCCGGTTGTTTGCAGAACCCTTCATGGGGACCGGCTTCTCAATTGAGATCCGTCCCTTGATTTCTTTTAGGATAAACTGGTTATCCTTGTTAAACGCATACTTTGGGGAGTATGGTTTGAATTCTTTTTTCTTTTTCTGGGCCGGCTGTTTAGAGGAATCAGCCGCCCATACCTCTTTTCTTTTCTCATCTTTGTTTGACGACTGTTTCTGTCGTCCTTCTCTTTTGTCGAACCTTTTCCCGTCCGACTGTTTTATCGTACACAGATCAGTCGCCTGTATATAGGCTTCTGCTTCAATCAAGGCCTCTTGAAGAGTCGCCACCCTTTTTCGAACCAAATCAAATTTGAAGGTAGACCCGTCTTTGAGACCTCTAAAAAAGTCGGTATAAGCTACCTCATCCGGTAACCCTTGAATCTGTATTCTCATCAGGTTAAACCGCCTGATGTAAGAACGAAGCCCCTCCTTCTCGCCCTGCTGAATTGTTCCCAAATCAAGGGTCGTTTTCTTCACAGGGATGTTCATGGCGAAGTTGGAGGCAAATAAGTAAGCAAGCGTCCTGAAGCTATTTACACAACCAGTCGGCAGGTTGCCGAACCATTGCTGTGCGATTCCTTTGAGAGTCGCTGGGAAACACTTGCACCAAGTGGGATCATCCAACCCTTGAAGGTACATCAGGTTGGTGAATGCCATCAGATGGTCTTCTGGGTTAGTAGTGCCGTCATAGGCGCCTACTAGTACATTTTTCACTTTGGCCGGCTGAGCGGCTTCAGTAATTTCCTTGGAGAAGGCCGACGGCTGTTCACCAAGTCTAAGCAACCGTAGCTGCCAGTCCATAGGTTGGACGTTTTTTGCTGTAGGTCCACCAAATGGAGGTGGCTGCATAAAATACTGTTGTTGCGGCACAAATGGTAAGTTTGGTACCGCCTGGGCACTATGAAAGCCGGACTGACGGGAGGTGCCGCCTGACTAACTCTCATGGTACGACTGAGTATGCCTCATCGAGGCATTTCGCAAACTGTCTTGAAAGTTTGAAGTAGAAGCCGACTCTGACAATCGGTCACTCTTCTTCTGCTCTAGCAGTAGCCGAGCATCTGTGAATGTTTGCTTTGACCCGTCCGCCTGAATATGACGAACCGGTTTCCTATTTCCTGTAGGATAACGGAATTTTGTGAAATCAAGGGCAGGTGGCTCCCGCTTCCTAGATTTAGGATGAGGAGTCGCCTCTCGCCCTTGAACTGGCTTCCTCTTCAGTGAAGTGGAGGGTTTCTTGGCCGACTGCTCCTTGACTGAAGCAGGCGGCTTCTTGTTGATCAACTCTTGAATCTCTCCCTTGAAGTCCCTCATGAAGGTCATGAGTTCGTTCCTTGTGATGGGAGTAGACCCATCAGTCGGCTGTTGCCGAACAAGCGGTGCGCCTGCTGGCTCGCTTCCTGTTTGAAGATGCTCCCGTTCCCTCCTTTCGGTATGACGGGTACGTCGGGCCCTTAGGGTCCCGTCTGAAGCTGTATGAGTTTCAACTTCAAATTCACTTTCGGTGTCATGGTCCGACTGAACTTGAGGGTCGTCTACGGGACGCCTCTCTTCAGGAGTTGGTACAGACTTGGATGCCATCTCTGAAGTACTCTCCCCACAGACGGCGCCAAATGTTTCGGGGTTTTCTGATGTCCTGCGGGAGAGTTACAATTCCGAGACTGAAACCGGACGCCTGTACCTGCAAAATAACGGAGACTCCTGTGAGCTCCGCCTCCAACGGTCAAGTTAGTACCTGATTAAGGAGTAATTAATGCGGAAATTAAAGTAATAAGGTCTCTCTAGGTGAGAATGTTTAATGTAGGTAATCTGCTTTGTTAGCGAGATCAGCCGGTTATTAGTGTGTTCCGTAATGTTTTTCGCGTGTTGTTTTTGTCCCCCCCCCCCTTAATGAGGATTAAGGGAGGTATTTATAACCTTGGGAAACATGCCCATCCTAGGTTTAGGTAAACCTAGGGCCGATTGGGCTTCCCTCGGAAGTTGGGCATGGGTGGCCGGTTTCTCCATTAGGCATGGAGTATGCCACATGTCGTGACATAACAGGTCCAAGGTGGACGAATAAGCGCGTGCCACGTGGCAAGCCCTGACAGTTCCAACTAGGGGACACTTGGCAGGTCCTGATTGGCCCACGTGGCGCATTCCGATTGGTAGGAGCAAAATCCCCTAATCAATTTGCAACCCGGGTTTCAAAAAAAAAAAAGACATATTCTTAGTGGGTCTATACTCTATAGGGTCTTGAAAACTCTTTTTATTTTTTTTTTATATTTTTATTTTACTTGTAACACATTTTATTTTACGCTGTAAATGCATTATCTCAATCATTAATATTTTTAATTACCACCTTCTAAAAATTTGATTTTTTTTAAAGTATAAAGTGAGACAAATTTAACAAGACCACATATGACTAGATTTTTCTCAATTATAATTCATCAAATCTACTTTAAGTAGTGATGAATTATAAAGTGTTGCAACTAAATAAAAACAAATGAATATACCCGTCAAAAAAAAATGAATCACTTCATAAGATTATGTTACTATATGCAAAGTTTGAAGCATTTTTTTTTTACAACAGCAGAAACAAAGGAAAGAAAAATAAACAACTAAAAAGCATCAAAAACAGCCGTAATGGAGAAACTATTCAATCTAAAGCATATCTTACAACAAACCAAACTCACATCTATTATGATTTACGAATATTTAGTCCATGTTCTTTTGATCTAAACTTAAGTTACTATTTATCGTAAATATTTAAATCATTTTTACTAATTGAAATTTATTTTTACCAATTTACTACAACAAAGAAAATATATTTAATATAATTGAATAAGAATTAACCACAAGAGCTAAGAATCTAAATACATGTATATAAGAATTCGGCACATTCTCAATTTGTTACTTCATACAACTTCATGAGTGATTTCGTCACTTTGTAATTTTGAGAGGAAGAAAGTTATTGTGATTATTTTGGTAACCAAAATTCGAGCAATCAACTTCAATCGCAGTCCCCTCATAACTTAATACTATACCAAAAGCATAGATCACCCATAGCTCGATACTATACCAAAAGCATAAAATCAAAAATCGAGCAATTGTTTCATAGTATGCCATAAGCATAGAACACCTACATATACATCATCGGAAGGTCAAAGATCTAGAAAAATCCCGCAAAAGGATCAGAACAATTAAAATTCACCATCCTAAAAATCCTCTCATGAAAAGGGAGAAATATATATGACTTGAATGAATTGAAACCTAAAAAAGAAAAAAAAAAGTAATATATAAATAAAAATAGGGGTCCACCATCCTTATCCTTAACAATGGTGGATAGCAACCCCTTAAAGGAAAGGACTAGGGTTTACTGAGATTTTAAGAGATTTAGATTTATTTTTTTTGGTGAATTAAATAAGCCAAACTATCTTTTATTATGCATATAACTATAATTTATGGATTTTAATACTTTGAAATTACATATGTGAAATGAATCTAACATGATCATACTCGTTTTTTTTGTTAAAAAAAACAAAATAAAATCAATTCAGATTAGGGTAATTTCAATTGTAAATTGAAATATACAACCGGCAAAAGTATTAGCTCATTTGCACAAAATGAACAGATTTATTTCCCTCATTTTTCTTGATTATGTTCATATATGTTAAATGAGCTGTTAAATGAGTGAATTTGTCAAGCAATGATAAAAGCAAAACCAACCTCTCATATGTGCAAAAAGCGATCGATTTAACTAGTTATATAATGCGTGAGTAACCAAATCTGACATAATTTTGTACGAGGCTATGTTGTGTCCTCAATACATTCGACCGATAAAATTACTTGCTCATTTACACAGAATGAGAATAACCTCGCTTGATTATATTCATTTGCACTAAATGAGCAAATTTGTATGGGAATAAGCAAAACCAACCTGCCCATCTGTTTAAGTAAACAAACCTCAAACCTGATTTAACAGGTTTAATAATGCATAAGTTGCCAAACCAGACATAGTTCCATGCGAGGCTATGTTGTGTCATCAATACATACAACCGGCAAAATTATTTGCTCATTTGCACAAAATGAGCAGAATCTCACTTATGATCGTTTGTACGAAATGAGCAAATTTGTTAAGCAATTATAAAAACAAAATCAACTTGTTCATCTATTTGTGCAAATAAACAAAATACAAATCTGAAACAGGTTGTACATTGTATGATTTGCCAAATCAGGCACACTCCCACATGTGTTTATGTCGTGATGGCAATATAGCTAGCAAAAACGTTTGCTCATTTGCACAGATTGGCAGAATTGTTTCCCTCATCTCGCATGATCATCTATCAAGCTACGGTAAAAGCAAAACCAAACTTCTCATCTATTCGTGCAAATAAGCAAATTACAAACCTGACTCAACCGGTTGTACACTGTTTGAACAGTAAAGCTACTTAAATCAAACACAATTCTATATTTGTCTATGTCGTGCTGCGAACTCATGCCCCTCAAATCAATTTAATCAATCATAAGCTATTGTTGTAAAATCTTTGTCAAACCATGACAATTACTTGAGTCGTTAGTCTTATCCATGATTATCAATTTATCATGGCTAATTGGCTAACAACCCTTGTGCTACTAACCAAACGCTACAACTCCCCCAATAAAACAACGAAAACGATTGAAAACGCTCCTCATTTTAAAACCCCTTGAACAACAACACTCCCAGATAAATAGAGGGAGAAAGAGAACAAACATTTCCTTCGATCTTCAACATTTCTAGGGTTAGGGTTTTCGAAATTCAGCCGCACCACAACCAAATTCAACGATGTCTTCCGACAACAACACCACCGCTTCTTCTCAGCAGCAGAAGCCGGGAAATGCGCCGACGAAGCCGCCATTGAGAAAGCCTACTTTCATCAAGGTCGACCAATTGAAGCCTGGTACTAGCGGCCATACTTTGACCGTCAAGGTTCTAAGCTCTAACACCGTTTTGAAGAGAGGAAGGGTTGTTTCTCAGAATCTTCGCAATACTCGAATTGCTGAATGTCTTATTGGTGATGAAACTGGTACCATCATCTTCACCGCTCGCAATGATCAAGGTATGGTTTTTGATGGGTCGTATTTCTTTCGTGTTAATTTTCGAAATTTAGGGTTTAATGTGTTCAATTTTTGGATGGGATTGTCTTTTTTGAAACCCTAGTTTCATGAATTGGGCATTTATTTGAATTTTTGTGTTTGATTGTTTTTATTGGTTTGTCATTTTGAGTGATATGGTTTTATATAATGGGTTACGTCATTTGTTTCAGATTTTTGTTGGGTTAAAAGAGATTATATGCAGAACACCCATGAATATTTAAAGTATTTTTGTACATGTGCACCTGAAAAGTCAAAATTTAAACACTTCAAAATTGATGGATTTTCTGGTATTTTATAAAGGGTTTTAGTTTTATATGATTTGGTGGAGGGATATGTTTTTCTGGCAATAAATTGATAGGGAAACAGGTAATTGTAACTTTTGATATGATATAATGGTCCATATCTTTGATGTGTCAAGGATTTTCGGCACAAATTTGAAATAATTTACACTATGTCCTTAACGGCCCATTTGGTAGCCGGTAATGAATTTTTAGTGTAAACTAGGAAGAAAATCAACAATATAATCCCAATGGTAATGCAATTTTATCCTCAAGGGTGTGTTTTCTTCATAATTTTCATTACCATCCATTGTCACTTGGGAGGATGTATTAGGTGAAATTTCTAAAGAGAAATGGTCATATTGGGGCGAGCTAGCATTACCATATGAATGAACCTTGATTTTCATTACAAATTTACATAAAAATTCATTCCCATTACCTTCATTTATGACCACCTACCAAACGGGCAGTAAATAGAATGTTTCTATCCTTTGTTATATGTTTGTGTGTGCATTCCTAAGCTGCTCCGACAAGGATCAAGTACTACTATTATTGATATTGGCAAGTGTTATATTGAGTTCTCAGTTATACCCACATTATTTAATATACGTGCTACACTGCAACGGTTTTAGTAAATGCAAAATTGTGTCTACTGTCTGTCTATCTTGCATTGTTTATTTTGTTGGGGATGAATAATCAGGGCCCTTTTCACCTCTTACAAGTCATTGCACAAAAATGGCCTTGCAAAAGGAGTGAGAATTTGGAATGAATGATTTTCCCCCCCTTAAAAAATAGGATGAGAAGACAGTGTTACACTTTTATATTTCGGTTCAACATGACAATTATAATTAATAAATGACTTCCTATTTTGTTCTGGAAAATCAAATTTGAAGATGTGTTCTCTGATATTTAGATTTGAAAACTAGTGGCCTTAGTAGCTATGAAGCATGTATTTTTGTCTCTTGACTTAGTTTCTGTAATGTGTAGGTAGTTTTAATTGCTAATTGTGAATAAGTCCTCCCCCCCCCCCCCCCCCAACAAAAAAAAGGCCTTTGTTCCTCAACTTAGTTTCTTTAATTTGTAGGTAATTTTGTAGTTGGTGGTTGAGGTGAAATTGATTTGTGCTTGGTTTTCAATATTTTTTTTCTGATATTTTTTGTGCTAATGCACAAGATTGTGTAATGCATTAATATCAGTCATTATTACTTTGTTTGTTGCTCAGTGTTGAAGTTCAGGTTATTCAAAACATTTTCCTCTTAAATGTAAAATTACTGCTTGAGTTAGAGAAGAGAGAATTATATATTGGCTCTATTGTCAATCATTAGGATCATAGTTGACAATGTTTTTACGGATATAGATTGTTAATTTGGTTCTTTTTATGTATCTTTTTCATGAGTTCAGATTACACAACTTGTATTGGTGATGAAGTATCTAGATGCATCATTATAGCTGTGATTCTTGAGGATGTGGATGCTTGCATCATGCCGTTGTGATAAAAAATTGATTAAAAATATTTACAATATTTCAATTAAGGAAGCGTTGAGGTGATGTGTGGATTTTTTTTTACTGCTGGTTTCTGATGTATGGACTCTCTGATTACATGTTTCAAGCTTATTTGATTTCCTTGAAGTGTTTGCTGATTGCTCCTGTCCTTTTTTGTGGCGTTTTTGCCTTGTTGTCAGATATTAAATATATCAATATAGAATATGATTCATGCGCTATTTGAAAAGCTTTTATCTTATATGCTTCGTGAATGAGAATTGGGGTTGTGGCTTTGTTGTTTGATTACTTTATATGGCACAGGCGTGTATTAAGTATTTTATTCCCCAAAAAATTACTGAATTACTGTTGAGTATTAGTTTGGGCTCTGATGACGGAATAATGATGATGATAATTTCTTGGTGTCTTTAAAGAGTAAGGGCCCTTGTTTTGTCGGAGATAGCTTAAGCATAAATCTAAGCAGAGTTGAGGTATGCCTCTCGGGATAGTGGCTAGTTTTGAATTGATGTGCTGGAGTACCTGAATGATCAGGTGCAAGAACTTCTTTTGTTCTAATGGCTTGCAATATAGATCCATCAGAAATACGAAGTACTATTCTACAGTATATTCTTATGCATACAAGTTTCTGTTTGTTGATGTTATGGCTTCTTTTCATGCTTTCATCCTTGTGCATACTAGTTTATGTTTGGCTTCTTTTCCTGCTTTCATTATTGTGCTGTGCTATCTACTGATCTCCCTAGAATTTGTTTTTGCATTTAATTCTGTCTGTCTCCACCTAGTCAAAAATAGTAAAAAGAGTTGTGAAATGTAATAGTCAACGAGATGACAGTATGACATAGGTCCAGGATGTAGAACTTGTGAATTATGAAGGTACTTGGTTTACCTTATTTATCTGTTAAGCATGGTAGTTTTGAGATGTTGCTTACTCATTTGTTTAATCATGATGGTTTGGAAATGTTGCTTTTGCTGCTCGTTTGCTTACATGCTCCTTTGTCTTCCCTGCTGTCCAGTTGACACCATGAAGCCTGGTACCACTATTATTGTCCGAAATGCAAAGATTGAGATGTTTAAGGGAACTATGAGGCTTGTAGTTGACAAGTGGGGCCGAATTGAAGTTACTGAACCTGCTGATTTCATCGTGAAAGAGGACAACAATCTCTCCTTGATTGAGTATGAGCTTGTCAATGTTACTGATGGGGGACAGAGCGGACAGTAATCTTAGAGCTGGTAAATATTTTCAAGTGTGAAGAAAGTTTTGGGGTTAGTCTAACTTATCCGGTTATTATGTGCTTCAGCAATTGGTGAAGGGCTTTCTTAATTAAAATGATTAGTAGGAATATTGGTTATTGGTATAGATATATGCTAAAGCCACAATGGGGTATAACTTTCGTAATGTGGTATCTAGATTATGATGTTCTGTTAATGCTTTGGCTTGTTGATGGAGATGGGATTGTAAAAAAAAAAAATATTGGTGTTAATGATGATGATATATGCAGTATATGCTTATTAATATCCCCGTTATTGACTTTAAACTTTTATGTACTAAATTGGCCAATGTTCATATCGACGTGCCTTAACAGCTTTGGTAAATACAAGGTGATAATCTTGTCATGTATAATGTCCTATGGTAGCTTACAAAGTTCTTGCTAGACGGCAAGTACAAATTGGAGTGTTACTGAGTAGGAGTGAGAAATGAGAAGAGATTAGGGTTTAATTAATTGCTATTTGTCATTCCATAATGGGGTTTTCCTAATCATTCTCCTTTGAAGGAGAGTAACCCAAAAGCTAATGGTGCTGCAACATTGGGACCCTTGGATGTTTGTCCATGATGTTCTTGATTAGGACTCTACAAATTTGATTGGATCTACTTGTTTGACATTTGTCTAGTTTTTCAATTTTTGAAAATCTTTCATCATATAGGAAGGAAGAACTTTTTAAAGATGGATAACGTAAAATAGTAGATGAGTAGAATGAAGAACTCTCTGCTGTATGTATTAATGGTCCTCTATTTCCTATTTTCTTAATCCTATAAACAAATACTACTTATCCCCAATACGTAGTATATTTGAAAATTATAAATTATTTATTTACATTTTCTTTGGTCCCAATTCCAAGCTCTAAAATTCATTTATAAATGAACACAATGTGATTAATGCCTATAAACTATTGTTCTTGGTCATAAGTTTTTTTGGAGAGGAATGTTAGTGGACTATTGTTGACAAAAATTGAATAATAAAAAGTAATTAGAATAATTAATTGTTTTAAATTATGACGATTGAGAATAATTTATGGTTAGGAATTAGGATGATGATCTTTGATGTCAAGGAGACAGGGATCCTAGGTTCGTTTAAATACTAGTGATGTAATCGTTTTCCATACTTTATATGACTAGTAGTGATGATTTTGTTGCAAGCTTTGAGCACTCGGTTGGTTGGTATGGTTATTATCTTAGCAACGACGAAGGGGAACACTTCTGCGTTCCCCTTCGTTGTCGGAGTACACCCCAACGTCATGTAGACTCCCTTGTGTCAAGCCAATTTGGCCCTTTTTTGCCCTGATTGTAAAAATCATCACGTTCGTTGATTAATAGTGGAAAAAAAAGGCAATAGACCCAACTTTTAAAAATGGACGCTTTTATTTAAGAGCAAAGGGAGTACAAAAAATATGTATGAAATTGATTTGATGTAGCTATGCCCATCAACAATTTTTTTTTTCGAAAACTATTGATTAAAGTTTGATTACCTTAGTTAACATTAAAATAGCGTTAATACCGCAATAAAGTATTTTAAAATGGATTCAATTATACTCTAATATTTATGGGATTTCATGGTAGCATAGTAACACAGAACAATAATTGATTATATTGTATAATGACATATATATATTAAATTATTATAAGGATGGAATAATACCCTACCTGGATGTTGAAGGTTTAGATCACTAATTAACAATAAGAAGAATTATAAAACTAAGTCAAAGTTTTCACACCTGATTCTCCATCTTTAACATTTTCCTAACTGTCTACCATTACCTTTCCCTTCCCTTTTGCCCTGGAAAACTAGCTTAAAGCAAGCTTCTTCTATTTGAAGCATATTTGCAAACCAAACGCCTACAATCAAACGTCAAATTATTCGCCTTTCTACAATGAAAGGAAACAAAACAGAACTAGAAGCTCAACATTATCATCAACAACAACTGCCACAGCATGATCATCACCACCACAAAGAAGAGGAAGAAGAAACAAGGCGGCGAGGTTGCCGGCCTATAGCAGCCATGCTTGGATTTCCATTTGCTATATCTGCTTTTCTGTTATCTCTTGCTGCTGGTATTGTTTGGATTCTTGGGTGTGTTCACTTTTCCTACTCGTCTTTTAGTTGTCACGTTACTAGTTCAAATTACACTATTAACGCATAATTATAATGTTAAAAGAGGTATTTTGGGTTTGTGATTTTGTTTTTATTTATTTTTTTGAACAGGTCAATGTTGAGTTATGTATGCCCATGTTTAAGCTGTTGTGCAGATCTTGCAAATAAAGCCATGGAAATTATAAAGCTTCCTATTACTGTATTTAGATGGTTTGTTGATAAGATTCCTTTCTGATTTGATTTGATTTGTTCATAGTTTTTAATTTCAGATTTTCAGTATTTGACTTATATTTATTTATTTAAATTTATTATAATTTTAATTTAAGAAGCTTGTTGCAACCACCATTTTAGTATGTATCTTCTAAGGTAAGCATATCTTATTTGTTTATAATTTTCAGATATTTTTTGTATTACTGTATTTTTTGTTTATATCTTATTTTAACTAAGGTAAGCATATCTTCTAAGGATAAATTTATTAGTTGCTTTATGCATTTTAAAAAATTCCCACCCAATTATATTCGAGCCAATTCGTCTATTGTTCTTGGCAGATAATATACAAAAGACCCATAATTTTGGGCAAGATTAGCCAACTGGTAGGACCTTGGGAGCACTAGATCTAGGATGTAAATTAGATCCGCCACCGCACATATACACATCGTATTTTGATGCACATAGAGCCACAAAGAATAATGATATAATATACTATACATAAAAAACATGTCGATTAAAAGTCATGAATATGATGAACTTTTAATGACTTTACGAGCTTAACTTAAAATAACGAGTATATTGTATATCGTTTATCAATTTTTGTTTTTGCAAATTCTATGGCCTTTGACAAATTGGCACATAGTATATATTGTGGTAACCCTATATGCTAAATTTTGTTTTTAGTTCCTTTTTTTATAAGGAAATAAAAACTAAGTAGGACTATATAAAAGGTCCATTGTGTCTTGGTTTTTAGTCTTAGTCTATTTACAGTTCTTAGCAATAATAGGTAGGCAATTGGGCAGCATATGTTCACTAGTTTCAATCCAGTTGATAGGCATGCCTTGAACAGAAAGAATTTATCCTTTGTATTGCTTCTTCAAGCGAGGCAGGATCAACAGCGAAGGTGATCCGAAGCCAATCTTTCATTCCCACTGCAACACCTGCAACATCAATCCTAGAATCTGTTAGCACTTAATATCATTGATGTATCTTTCTGTTAAGGTTTATAAGAGTTGGAAGGGATACTTTCTGTTATAATGTGATATATGAATGATCATGAATCATGATGGCCCCATTATTATGTTTATTGCTAGCTTAGGTGTTCTAATGTGAAGACGAGAACTCAGGAAAAGAACTAGATATACTCGCATACATATTGGCTATTTTGTTACATACCTGGAAGAATGATGACTGATTCCTCTTTAGCCAACCTAAAACAGAAGTCAATATCATCACTGATATCTTTCAATAAAGAAAGATTCAATTTCACCTGCAAAAATTATTGCAATGAATTAGTCACTGATTCCCAAATCATGCTTTCAGAATTTTCAGGTTAGAAAACTGCCTATGATGAAAGCCCTCGGGTACCACCCCACAGGACTTTACCAGCTAAATTAGTTGACATTCAATAGCTTGATTGAAACATTTATGTGGGATGTCAAGATAGTACCGAGTATACGACAAAAAACTTACCATTACAGCCATTGAGCCCTCTGGTTTCTGAGGACAATTGAGGCAGGGGATCTTATTTATGCCCTCAAAACACAACTCTGATGTTTGCTTCAGAATGTTAATATTTTTCTTGAAGAAAGCATCATCGGTTTTCTCTAGGATTTGTGGCACTGCTGCCTAAAATTAGAACATTAGATTTTAGTAGAGAGCAAAGTAAAGGTCTAAAAATATGAGTATTAATTAAGCTTTACAAAATGAAACCTGAACAAATGTTGGTGGTCCTCCGTAGATGTCAAAAATCTTTTTCAATCGCTCCATGACCTGAGAATGATGCAAGACAAACACATAGCATTAAGTATCACCTATTGACTGAGTATAGAAGTATTACATCACACTCCTTGAGTAAATCCTAGCTTTACAAGGCTCAAGAAGATAGATAGAGTTGAGCTTAATTAGCTCGCGAATCAGCTTGGCTCATTATCACCCGTAGTTTAGAGAGCCACAATTCCAATCATGATTAAACTGACTACTATTTCGGAAAAATTGAAGGGAGCATGAGTGTGCATAAGATGTAAACCTTAGGCTGCTTAAAGATGGCAGTGGGATCAGTTACAGCAAGCCAACCAAGTCTCCAACCAGGGACTAACCATCTCTTTGACAAAGATCCGAGAGTCAGAACAGGAGCAATTGATCCAAATGTTCCCATTGGCACAAATGGGTTCTTCCCAAAAGCAAGATGACCATAAACTTCATCAGCAATGACTATAATTCCAAGCTTCTTTGCTACCTCTGCAATCTGAAATGAAACAGAATTAACATTCTAGTGACATACTTTCCCTTTTTCTAACTAGATATGTTATGTCATATCAAATAAGTAATTGTGCAATCGTCTCATATACATTCCAGAGCCAATGCATTGAGGTAAAAGACTAACCCGTAACAAGTGTTGGAAAGAGTAAACATTTCCACACGGGTTTCCAGGGTTGATGACAACGATTGCAACAGTGTTCTCATCAGCAAGAGTTTCAACGGCGTCAAGGTCTACTTCCCAGCTCCTAGCCGGAAGAAGGTTGAAGTGCCTAACCTCAAGTTGCCTAAAGGAAGCACAAAGTTGGTAGATTGGGAAGCCTGGTCTAGGCACCAATATATTGGCACCCGGGCGTGCAAGTATAGACAGTGCTATATCTATGGCATTTGTGCACCCCGATGTCACGAAAACATCTTCCTTGGTTAAATTGTATGGCAAATCATGAGACAAGTAGTCAGCTATTGCCCTGTCCAACAAACACATGCGATACAGTTAATTTTTATTGGAAACCAAGGCAAAAGCGGGCGACAATTAGGCATATTACCTAGAAGAATCACAATTACCATCTAACCTTAAGGCTTCGATGGTAGAATTTGAACCTCAAACCTTTATGTTTGTCAAGAGGGTATTAATTTAATTTGTCAAGAGGGTAGTAATACACAAGTAAATTTGTCAAGAGGGTAATAAATTTCATTTGCATTGATTTTCTAACCAAGAACAACACATAGAAACAAGGAAGGACTGATTTATTAGAATCTTCAGCAAAAATGCATGACAGAGGTAATCAAATGTAAATGTGTTAAATGTATTGTACAATTGTAAATTACAAAAAGATTGTACTTGTAATTTCTAAGTCACCTGTATAAAAAGGTTATAATTGACAAATTTGTACATAAAAAAAAACCCGTGATAACAAAAAGAAAAAAAAATGACTTTTCTAGAAAAGTCTTCTTTTTTCCTCTAATAAGTTGGTAGTAATTTTTTTTTTTTTTTTTTTTTTTTTTGGACAACAGTTGGTAGTAAAAATCAAAGAAAACTAACAATACAAATTCCCCCTCAATTTATTTTGTAATTATGTACGACTCACCATAAAAAATTTGCCAACTTTATTCCTAACTTTATCCTATCTCCCTAATTTACCTTTTTGAATCCTTTTTTTTTTTTTTTTTTTTTTTTTTTGAATCAACAAAACCAAAGGCAAACAATGGTATTAGTTAGATTATACATTTACACTCTTGACCCAAAATCAATTGGTAATAGGAGTAGTAGTTCCATGACAGCGATTAATGCTAAACCAATTCAATCTCTTTCGAAGATTCAACCAATTTGAACAAACCACTTCTAGTAAGTTTGATTAACAAGAATATAATAAACATTGAATGAACAATTCAATCTCTTAATATTTGATTAGCTAATAGCTAGTTTCATGTTTCTCTTGTTCATTCAAAAATTGAGGGAAAAAATGCATCAAAAAACCAAAAAAAAAAAAAAAAAAAAAAAAAAAAGAAAAGAATGAAGTTAGTAGCATTACTTTCTAGTTTGTGGAAGACCTTGAGTAGGAGCATAACCATTGAACTTAGCCGAGGACAATGCATCAACCACGCCTTCCATTGCCCCATTACTCGTCGTAAAGCACGAATACGCCGTCGGATCGCCCATTCCTAGAGAAATCACTTCTTTCTCATCATCCTCATCAATTTGCGACATTATTAACCCAATAATCCCTTTAATGGTTATCATATTTTGTGTTTTATCATCAAAATTGTTATTATTATTGTTATTCATCACCTCTTGGTTTGTCAATATTGACGCATCCTTCATGTCTTGGTAGTTCTTTTGTGGTAAATGTACTTGAACCATTGGCATTTTGTTTTGGAGGTCGTTTTGATCAACTTGTAAACGATTTGGACAATGTTGCTTATGCCACGGGACAAGTAATATGAGACGGAGGGAGTATGATTATCGAAACAAATTTATGTTTGGGCGATATAAACTAAAAAAAAGGTGGAGAACAAGAAGACTACGAAAGATCGTAGCTAAAGATTGGATATTAACCGGAGATTACAATGTTATAGCAATATAACATCCACATGTTATTGTTTGTCCTTTATTGCATGAGTACAGCAGATTTTTGAATAAAGACAAATTCAGTTGAAGACAAATGGTTTCGTGGTTAAACGGTTCTACTCGTGGATGTACAAGCATTCATAAATATTTTATTTTCTTTAAAGGTTCGTTTATAAACCTATAATATTGGTTTCATTTTGGACCTTTTTTTTATATGTGAAGAATAAAATTGGTCTCATAATTTAATTCAACATTTGTCATATGTATGTATGAAGCTAAGTTGAGATAATATCTACTTTTTCCATTTTTGAAATTATGGTTACATTTATTGATGGAGTATGTTCAACTCGATAATTTAGAAAGTAAAAGATATGGAGTAATTTGAAAAAGTGTTTACCATTAAAGTGTTAATTGGCTCACTTGATAATTTAAGTTTCTTACCTCAAATCCTACAAGTTTAAGGCTTGAATTTACCTAATGACTAATGAGAGTGCAATAGGTCTACTATAGACCCTGGTCCATATAGAATAGGTGGACCACTAGCCCAAATACAATCCACAACACAAATACAATACAAATAACGCCGCCAAACTCTCGTTTCTTTCTTTCCACTCTAACAAAACTGATAGAAGATTAAATATGAACATTTACTCTTTCAAATGCTGAAAAACTCTCGTTTCTGTCTCCTCTGCAAATTCGAGAATAGCCATGGATGAAAAGCAAGAAACCAATGCAGAAAGGTAAATAAGATTTCTGAAACTAAAATTTCAATAAATTTCTTTGAATTTCTTTGAATTTGCAATTTACCATCAATTAAATTTCTTCATTAGTTAAATTTTTGCAATTTGTATATAATTTAAAAACATTTTTCTTATTTTTTAGAGACCCAACAAATTATTCTACAAGTAGAGATGAAGATGAATTGTTGAAGCTAATCCGATCAATTTCAAGGCGTGCAGTGGTACATTGCGATTGTTCGGATATTGTTACTAAATGTTCAAAATTTGCGATGTTCAAATTTTTTTACTAAAACTTAAAAATTTAAAATTGTTCAGATTTTTTTTTACTAAATGTTCAAAAGTAAAGGAGTGATAAATTGCGATTGTTTATATATTTTTAATAAATGTTCAAAAAATTTTATGTTCAGTTCGGATTTTTTTTACTAAATGTTCAAAATTTGTAATCGTTCAGATTTTTTTATCAAATGTTCAAAAGTATAGGCGTGGTAAATTGCAAAAAAAATTTTAGATATTTTTACTTATAGATGTTTAAAATTTTCGATGTTCAGTTCGGATTTTTTTTTACTAAATATTAAAAATTTGCAATCGTTCATATTTTTTTATTAAATTTTCAAAAGTATAGGCGTGGTACATTGCGATTGTTCAGATACTTTTACTAAATGTTCAAAATTTTTGATGTTCAGTTCAGATTTTTTTTACTAAATGTTCAAAATTTGCAATCGTTAAGATTTTTTTTTACTAAATGTTCAAAATTTGCAATCGTTAAGATTTTTTTTTACTAATTGTTCAAAAGTATAGGCGCGGTACTTTGCAATTTTTCAGATATTTTTACTAAATGTTCAAAATTTTCGATGTTTAGTTCGGATTTTTTTACTAAATGTTCAAAATTTGCAATCGTTCAGATTTTTTTACCAAATGTTCAAAAGTATAGACGTGGTACATATAACTAATTTTGAAACAATCAATTAATAAAAATTCATATAAATAAATAAGAATGATCAAATTAATGAGAACAATCAAATATATCAATTAATCGATCATAATAGCTTGAAATCGATCATAATCCGTTGAAATTGATAGGTTTAGCTTCAAGAATTTTAAATAAATTTAAAACAAGGATTAAATCCACAAATTCATCTCAAAAACAAAATCTAAATCAATATTGATCACAATGAATTCAGAATAACTAATCATGATTGATTCCTTCAGGAATTTCGACGATTTCCATCATGTTAAATGCGGCAAATCAATGGAAAATATTAAGAAAAAAAATAAAGAACAGAGGGGAGAGAGAAGAATAAGAATTTGTAAAAAAGGATTGTAATAGAGAAAGAAATTAAAAGAATCAGATTAAATTTCTTTAAAAAAAAATCAGATTAAAAAGGGAAAGAGAATTAAAGAAGGAAAAAAAAAGCAGCTAAAATGGTGGGATGAGGAGAAGAAAGTGAAGCTGCATATTATAGAGTGGGCCGCGTGAAATTGAGTGGTCCATATAGAATAGATAGACTAGGGTCCATAGAAGAATTTGTACTTGTCTAGTTGCAAGACCTAGGTGTAATTCCTACGTTATGTGGGAAGATGATTTTAAAAAAAAAAAAAAGAATTTTTACGTATATTTTCATTATATAAATCTTTTTATGAAAGGATTAAAATATTTTTATCATATTAATGTTTAAAATTGTGCATAAATATATGTCAGTTAAATTGTTACTTTGTACTAATCTATCCTAATACTAATAATTGTTTTGTACATGCGGGTGTATCATGTGCATGGTACACCCGAAAAAATTACCCTATGAATAAAATAACACTACCTATAAATAAAATAACATTAAAATTAATAAAAGAACGTAACCTTATCAAAGAATATAACGTCATTACATATAAATAAAAGAACATTACCTGCAAATAAAAAAAGTCATAATCATAATAATCTATTATACATTATAAACGAACATAGAGTACATCAAAAAGAACATTACATATGAGTTATTTTTTTACTCACCATACAGTCATATACCCATGAAATTTTCAAATTCACCATATGCCTTTGAGTTTAAACAAAATGTCACCACATGCCCAAATGACTAACTGACATTAACTCCGTTAGTCGTTATGGTTAAGTACACCACGTGGCTGGATATGATTGGTTATTTTTTAAAATTATTTAACTAAGAATTAAAAAATTCACCCCAGACAGCCACCCTCCCCACCCTCACCCTTGCCGGCTACCAGATCCCTACCATCACCATCGTCAGCGCTCAGACCTCCTTGCCCCTGCGCCGGCATCTCCCGCCGCTTCTCCCCCCCCCCCCCCGACATTTCCCTGCCCCTTCCCTGAATTCAACAAAAAAAAAAGACTTTAAAAAATCGGCCACCATCCCCGCCTAGCCAACAACAGCCCTACTTCATCCCCGCCCAGCCCAAACACCCGTGTCAGCGCCGCTCACTAAAACCTTTCCCTATCGCCACCCCTTTCCTCGAATCACCATTTCCCCCTCCACGAAACCCCAGGAAGCCCTTCCCCAACCTCTAAAATCCCAACTCAAACCCAACATACTGTGGGAGAATTAAGATGTCGATAGCAACGGATGAATTAAAGAACGAAAGGAGGGATCGGTGTCATAGCCATTGTTGTTTTTGTTAGAGGAGAGAGGTGGAATCATCTTCACCGACGAGATCGACAGGATGAAGAGGAGAGTGGCGGTTTTAGATTTCAAGGATGGGGACGGTGATTTCTAGGATTACGGAGAGGGAAAAAACTCAGGGGCATTTTTGTGAATTTGAAAATTGTCATGGGTATATGATGAAAAAAAACTCAGGGGCATTTGGTGAAAAATCTGCATATAATAAACTAACATAATTTATAAATAAAAAATTATTACACATAAATAATGGCCCGGAAAAATGCTACTACCCAAACCCATGGAAAAAGATGATGAATGGAAGTGCCAAAATTTTAAATAATCAAATAATTTCATGATAATAAAGCTTCATATGAACAACAAATAATCGCAAAACACAAAATATAGATAAAAATAGCAAGCAAAGAGAGTTCACTATTGAAGCACAACCTAGGGTTTCAAATTTATGAAGTAGAACAAAGATGAACAAAGAAAGAGAAATTACACCTCAAATGAGTATAACACCCTTGTAAAGTGACTTAATAGTGAAAATCAAGCAAGTAAAACGCTCAACTGCAAGTTCTTTAGTCAAAATCAAAAATATCCAAAATTCTCAAATCATAAAAAATTCGAAATTTTGGTTGTGAAATTTGGATTTTTTAAAGTGCAAAATCAAGTAAAAATTATGTTTTAGGGTGATGAATTAAACACATAAAAGCTATAAAAATCAAGAAATAAAATGAAAGAAGATGTCATAAGAGGGAAAAGAGAGAGTGTGTCGAGGAGAGAGAAAATGAATGGTTGAAATGAACATTACATATAAATTTCTTCTTTAAAGTAAAAAAACAGTATATTTAAATAAGGAAAAATTATCAAAAATAATACAAAATTTCACCCGTTCGCTCAAAACAAGTTGAACTTTCAATTTTTTCTAGATAATACAAATTTTGAAGGATGTTCGCTTTAAACAAGTTATGACCGGTTAGTGACTTGATTAGTAGTAGTAGTAGTAGTAGTAGTAGTAGTAGTAGTAGTAGTAGTAGTAGTAGTAGTAGTAGTAGTAGTAGTAGTAGTAATTTTTAATTATTTTTAGAGTATATTTGTTTGGTAATTGTTGTTATTATTATTGTTGTTGCTATTATGATTGTTGTTAGCAGTATTAGTTATTAATGTTAATATTATTATTAGTTGTAATAGTGTTTCATAAATATTATAATTAATATTATAAAAAATTACATAATGACATAAACCATGTTTTGTCTAATTTGTATAAGATATGAAATCTGAGGAAGGCGGTGACGGTGTGAATTATAGTGGGAATTTTGTCACGGATACGTTTTTTCCAACATTTGACGATGCGGTTACATGGGTTGATGGTGTTTCCATAAATTTGGGATTTATTTTGGTGAAATCGTCTTATAACAAAACCAGAGATGGTCGGCCGTATCGGTATTTGCGATGTGATCAGTCACGAAGGAACAAGCCGAGAGATTTGGAGAATGCGATACGAAAGGACACAAAAATCAAAGCTAATGGTTGTCCATTCTACATCAAGATATATAATGAAGTCAGCACCGACAGTTGGAAGATCATTGCGAAAAATGATCACACCAGGACACATAACCACCCAATGATTGTGTACCAAGAGGATCACCGTAAAGTGAGCGGATTGAGTCCGGGTGCAAAACAGGTTGTGCGGGACATGACAAAGTCCAAGGTTGCGCCCCATAACATCATGTCAACTATTGCCAAGCAATTTCCTGATGATCATCCAAACATCCGACACATTTATAATTGTCGGAATGACTTCAGGATTGAGATGTCCGAAGGAAGAGGAATTGTTCAGCAATTTCTTCATCTGGCGAGAGAGAGTAAATACATTTACTAGGTCACGAACGATGATCACAACGTTTTGCAACATGCATTTATGGTGCACCCGATCATGGTCAACATACTCCGCACATACCCACATGTCATAGGTATGGATTCTAATTACAAGACCAATCGATATAACATGCCTTTCTTTGAGGTAGTAGGTGTGACACCGACAACCAGAATTTTCTAGTTGGATATGTTTTCATGCGCGACGAGTGCACGGCTAGCTATCGGTGGGTGTTGCAGAGATTAAGGGAGTTGATTGGGTTTGATAAAGAGCCATCTGTATTTATTTCAGACCGTGATCTTGGGCTATATGCGGCTTTGAGAGAAGTCTTTCCAGGGACGTCACATTTACTCTGTATATGGCACATCAACAGAGATGTGGAGGCTAAGGTGACGAAGATATTCGGAAACAAGAAGGTTGGTGTCAGTTTTAGAAATGGCAAATGGTTCAAAATCGTGAATGCAACAACACAGGCGGAGTATGATCATGCTCTAGCTACCATGCAAGTGAGGTGGGGAAAATATGCGGCAGTGATTCAGTATGTTGAGAGAACATGGCTTTGTCATAAGGAGAAATTTGTGAAATATTGGACGAACCAGGCTCTTCACTTTGGTAACACCACCAACTGTAGAGTTGAGAGCCAACATTCAACAGTGAAAACTTGGTTTGAATCATCCACAGGTTAGTTGTTTTATTTTATTAGTTGTTCTCGTTGTTACGTAATTGTAATTATAATAAAAAAAATTAAAATGTATTTACTAATTTGAATCATTGGCAGGTTCTTTGGATACCGTATGGGCCCGAGTCCATTGTCATATCGGTAATTGAATCATACAAATTCGTAATGAGTTGGAGGCATCAAGGTCTAAAATTGGTGAGATGTACATACAGTTGCCACTATCACGTATAAATGGCAAAGTGTCTCAACATTGCTTGAAAGAACTGCATAACGAGACGAAAAGGATGCGGGATTTGAGTTACCAGGTCTATGAACGTTGTGGATGTGCTATGCGTGTGACCCACGGTCTTCCATGTGCTTACCAGATACATGATTCGATAGTTTCACAGACAGGATTGTATAGCAGCCAAATTCATTCTTTCTGGAAGACACTGGTTATTGGTGATGATGTTAACATTCCTGAAGTGGTTAATGATTCGACCGAGGAAGCTGCACATTTTCGATCCCTAATTGATGAAGTAATGGAAAGTAACCCGGCCGTACGTCAAAATGTAACGCGAATCATTGAAGAGGAGCTACATCCGGATCATACACACCTTGAAAAACCACATGTGAACCTCAACACTCGTGGTCGACAGGGAACAATGACACCAGGCGTGATCGAAGTTATTTCGAGCATGTGAACCGTCAACACACTCAACGTGGTGGTGACCCACAACCATGTAATATTAAAATTCTATTGATTTTGAAAAATATATAATATTAATATATGTAAACTTAATACTTGTAGCTTTACTAATAATTTATCTTTTAATTTTGTGTTGTAGATCCGAGTGACATTAGTCAATGCAGGTATTTGAACTTGCTTCCAGGCCCAATGTTACCGTACATTTTGTCTTAGAAGGATGTCATTGGTGATGGGAACTGTGGCTTTCGTTGTGTCGCCGACTTCTTCTATGGCGATCAGGCGTTGTGGTTTGACGCTCGGTAAACAATAGCGAACGAGATCGCCGGTCATCCTGATTTGTACGAACGAATTTACGGGCTTGGACGACTTTGGATGAACGTAGAGCCTATTCGATGGGATGGTGGGGATGTCAGGGAGCGACATTGGATGGTTATAATTCAAGATTTATTTCCTATTGCTACGTGGTTCAACGCAAGGGTGGTTTGTCTCGGGGTAGGCCTAGTACCAACTTGCTACTACCCATGCATCACAGTCTTATCGCTGAGGGCACGCAACGGGGTTCGGACACCGATTCGAGAGTTTGTGATTGCTACAGTTGGTGGATCACATTTCATCCGTTTTGACCTTGTACCTGATTCACCTCTCCCGCCAATCGCCGGTTGGTGGACTGAACACCACGAGGATAGTGTTAATGGATGGGATCAACAATATGAATGTAGAAGGAACATGTGGGATGCATTAGTTAGGTAGTTTGTAATGTACATTCACTAACTTTGAACATTTGTAAGAAAATTACAATTATGAAATTAATTTTATTGTACTTGCTTTTAATCTAACATGATATGCAAAAAAACATAAAATATAAAAATAAATCACTGTCCAGTTTATACATTACATTTAGGAAATTTTAGAAAATAACACCAGGAAAAAACCCATATTTTGATTATAACACCACAAAATTTAAAAGTTTGATTATAACACCACCAAAAAACCAAAAAAATTGATTTCACCACCTCTTACTAACGTCATCCAAAAAACCGTTAGTAGGTCCCACTTAGTATACGTGTCAAGTATATACTGGATAAAAATAATAAAAAAACAAAAAAAAATAAAAATCTTAACCCAGCCACCGCACTCACTACCGGCGCCATTCCACTTGCCCCCACCACCGCTGCTAGTTCCCCCAGCTGACCACCCTCGACCGACCACCCTTGATCGACCACCTGAACGAGCACCACCCTGACCCTTAAACACCGTGCCCAGCTCAGCCCAACCCCGATTCAATTTGATTTCTTGAAACGGGTTAGGGTTCAGGTGAGGGAGGTTTTTGGGTAATGTGGGTTGGGATTTCAATTTTCGACGAAAGCTCTAGGTAAGGAAGAAGATTTCGGCGACGATGGTGGTGATGTAGCCGAGGTAGCTGTTGGTGGTGTGATGTAGGAGTTCGGCGGCATGGGGTGGTTTTCGGGTTTGGACGTTTGGTGGTATGAGTTCAGCGGCGTGAGTGGTTTTCGGGGAGGGGGAAGACGATATTCGGCGTCGTGGGGTGGTTTTGGTTGGGGAGATGGGTGTCGCCGGTATTTGTTGGGGAGATGGGTGTCGGCGGCGGCCTAGGTTATAGTGTCGGCGGCTGAAGCGAGGTGGCGCCGGTGGTGGGGCTAGCTGGGTTAATGGATTTTTTTTCTTTTTATTATTTCATCTTTTTTAAGCCTATAGGCTATTGACACGTTTCAATTATGGGACCCACTAACAGATTCCATCCAAGAATCCGTTAAGTGGTGGTTAAATCAATTTTTGGTGTTTTCTTGTGGTGTTATAATCAAAATTTATTTTTTTGTGGTGTTATAAACAAAATTTGTGTTTTTTTTGTGGTGTTATTTTCCGTGATTAAAACCACTAACACGACTTCTAATTAAAATAATCTAAAGTCCCATTTTTGAATTCCAATCAAATACAAGCTGCTCAGTCATTGTCCGAGTCTCACTCGACATTTCAGGATACTCAGCCAGTGCTCTTTGGTGAATCTCCATGGACCGACCCATCCACTACAAATCAAACAATAACATATTATATACACAAAAATTCATAGAAGTCATTTTTAATATTATAATAAGAATAAATACTTACATAATCAGTGTTAGTCCGCTCAGGTAGGTTGCTTGTAACTCCTGCACCTAGAGATACCCGCGGGTGAGAAAACCTGTACAACCACTGCATGTAACCAGGCGCAAACGAAGGAGCTGCAGCACTAAGCCTGGTGAGGGCACCTAAAACTACACTCGGAGATACCCTAGTGACAAACCTCTTCCACATCACGTCTGTCATCTCGGTCGGGAAGTCTACCCGATACATCTTCAAGTTAGTCGGCCTCTTGGCCTTCTCTGGCCTGATGATCTCGCGGGGAATGCCTTGCACGAAACCAAGCTGTCGCACCACTCTATCAGGCATGTACGACTCAATGATGTTACGGTACTAGATGCATCTAATGAATAAAGTGGGGGGCACTCGTAATGCAGGATCAGCTCCGTACGGTAGCCAGTTCACCTCACGGTCAGTAAGCGCATCAATTCTGGTACGAAAAGATAACAGGCGCTCCAGGTTCTTGCTAGGACATCTCGCTCCAACATCCCAAGCAGACGCACGAGGCATTTGAAGGTCCCGGGTCAAGGTACCCTGCTGTGGCCGAAAGCACGAAAAGTACTCGTAAATCAACACTTGCAGAAGCGTGAGACAACCAGCAATCGAATCAGCACCTTTCCGTGATGTCGTGCCCAGTTGCCGATACAAGTAAGCCAGTGCAGCTGTTCCCCAAGCATACTCGTTAATAGGGACATCTATATAACATAGCTCGTGGAGGAAGGAAGGATGCGTACGGTTACCACTCTTGTCTACAAACAGTGTACCTCCAAGCACTAACCACAAGTATCCATTAAGCTGATCACTAAACTCCCGGTTAACCGCCAATGTCGACTCAAAAATCTTATCAGTCAACACCCCACTACCCTGCCAAATCGTCTTTGTGCCGCAAATCTTAGACAAATTATCTGGAGTCATATCCATGGTGATCGAGCACGCGTCCCGTAACACGTCCGTGCTAGGAGTAGTGGTGACCATATTGCCTTCGACACGTAACCCAAGTATGTTGTACACGTCGTGCAACAAGATCGTAATCTCCCCAAATGGCATATGAAAGGTGTTCGTATCTGGCTGCCATCTCTCAACAAAAGCAGAAATCAGCGGCAAATCAAGTCTTTTAAACATCAGGCCGGGCAAGTGAGACAACCAACTACCATCAATCACCCCGAGGTTCTCCACTGATTGACGACCTCGCCAAGTAAACAAGTCAGAATATAACTATGTCCTACTTAAACATTGCAAAACACTACGCTCCTGCTCGATCCAGATATATCGTGCCACGTGACCACCAAAACTAGGGATAACAGTCCCATCCTCAAGACCACCCGACATCGGTTCCTGCAGTAACCATGCCTCTGCAGAGCTGGTATTAGGCTGACTCGATCCACTACCAACAAATCTACCAAACTGACCCCTATATACCGTATGGTAATCCCGAGGGTCCGGTTCTTGATCACGGTCATCAGCATGACTAGCCGAGCATTCGTCTTCCTCGTCAGATGT